TAGCTTACACTAGCCCACATGTTAAAAAGCAGCGCTTTACCATGGAGCCATCTGCTAGAGTGAGATCCAGCAGATTGTGGTGCATTGTGCTGTTTACTTTTTCCTTTTTTTTTAATCTTTATTTGTTCACTTCATTTGTTTTTTCTACACAGCAGTGCAGTGCGTCACACTCCAGTGCTTTGGCATGCGATGCCATTCAATACACTGCAGAAAAAATGCTGCATCTTTCCAAATTGCACAAAACCACACATCACACCAGTGTTGTGGTGTTATGGTGACACATATAAAATAATTGGTTTCTATACACCCTAACAGTGACCTATATTGACCTAGTGCGGAAACATGCAGGTCACGGTGTAGACAAACCCTAAATGTTCATGGAATGCTCAAATTTGTTACTAATAGCAAGTCCCTAAAAGTTTAATCCACAGCTATAGATTAATAATTCCTGAATAGTTATTCAACATTGTTATAGACTTTGGTCAACACTTTTCCATGGTGTAATCAGGATATGGTAACATCAGGAATTATGACCTTCTGTTTTATTCTTCTAGGTCAACCAAATGTGGATTAGGAGGCAGGATGCAGTGAATCAACATTATGTTTTTAACCAGTTCCTGCAGGAGGTACACATACTGTACAGTATATGCGGCCTCTTGGCAGGTGGGCTTTACCGCTGAGAGACTGCATATATGCGTTCCTATGTAAACATTTTCCTGTGCTGAGAGTGCACACCCTGCATGCTCCCCGCAGGTACCGAAAATCTCTCAATGCATACTTGTGTTTGAGAGCTTTCCAATCATGTGACCACTGTGACTGCCAATCACAGTGGTCACATGATCAAATCTTAAAGTGAGTGCTCCCTCACATTTGCCTTGGGATATGCTGGGCAACCTTTCCCAGTGCAGTTCCAATGCAAAGACAAGGTAATTCGCCTTGTTTGCTACAGTGTTGGTCTATAACATAACTGTGATTTGGCCTTTATCTTAAAGCCTAAGTTTACACACAAAAAATACAAAATAAATATTTTTGTCTTTATTCACAGTTTCTATGAATGAAATACGATCTATGAATGGAAGATGGACAGATGATAGGTCCACCCCTCCATTCATAGATCACGTTTCATTAATAGAATCTGCCGTATTGATTTCTATGAATGGGGGAGCTTTACAGAAAGGAAATAGTTGGCACTCTTGATGAGAGCCTGTGACAGCTCCTCAGTTCTATTAACTTCAGCCACATTAGAAGATTGCAGTGGTAGGGGAGGGGGAGCATTGGATGATGGAAAATTTCTACTGAAGCACAAGGGACACGTCACACTGAATGTAGTCACACTGAAGTAATGTCCCCTGTGCTTAGTATTTTTTTTTTTTGTAAACCTAGGCTTTAAGGCCAACCATGCACTATCCTATAATCACCTTTTCTTTTCGCTTTGATTTCTAGACTTTAATTGCTCTTTGACTAATAAATCTTCAAGCATTTCATTTATTTAAATTGATCATATATTTTTGTTTATAGGAAATATGACAGCTAAAGAAGACTACAGTTCACTTGTCCAAGGCCTGTGTAGCCTGGACTTCTCTGGAAACAGTGTACCCTGCCAGCTTCTCCTGACTGGTGATACGGCCTTTCCAGTGTTAGTGACTCCAGCACATCATGTCCTCCTTGCTGCCTCTAAGTATGAGAAGGGTAAAATAGTGGTCATGAGCCATGAGTCCTATTTAAACCAACCTCAATTCATGGATTTCCTGAAGAACGCCATATCCTGGCTTAAACCATCTGTAGAAGCAGTAATTGGTATTGACAACAATCTAGATCACCTGGAGCAGACTCTGTCTTCCTCTGGACACAAGGTAGAAAAGGTTTCTGGTCTTAATAAAGATCTAGGGGTGTTCTGCACTACTGGAAATGATGACAGCCAGGCAGAAGATATTGTCACATTCTTGAGACAAGGTGGAGGTGTGCTCATTGGAGCCCAAGCCTGGTACTGGTCTCAGTGTCACCAACAAGAGAATGTTCTGTGTCATTTTCCTGGAAACAAGATAACATCAGTTGCCGGAGTGTATTTCACCAACAAATATGGAGAGAAGGGAAACTTCTGTGTGAGTGAGAACATACCATGGAGACCAGTGTATAAAAAGTGAGTATGCTGGGACTGAGTCCTTAAAGTGATTTATAAGTGTTTTCAACCAAGATTCACACAACCTTTACCCAAGATTCTTTTTTTTTTCTAACTAAATCTTTTGTGTAATATTTGTGAATCTTGGGAGAAAGCTGTATTAATTGTGTGAAATAAATAGACCTCTTAGTTTTCTTATAATAAAAAAGAAAGCAAGACTACTTTTGTATTTGTTTTAATACAATATATCATTATTTGCCCCACTTAAATCATACATGCTGTCCTTTTCTTGAAAGCTCATGTAGTGGGGTGCAGCAGGCTGTGTGTTCAACTTGCTCACGGTAGGCTTGCCATATTTTCTTCCATCTCTTCTCTCCTGGTCATGCAGGGGGGAAAAAACTGTGCTTGCTCTAGGCAGTGTAAGAGAGAGTGTTAGATAGCAGCTTAGATAACTGCAACCAGCCCTCCAGATGGTATGCCTATCTATGCACTTGGTGGTTATGGTGCTTGGTTACGTGGCGAGCCACAGTCCGGTGTCTAGTGTGTGTGTAGCATATGTGTGAACAGCCTATTGCAGTAGGGTGTGCACCCAAAAGCTCAAACATGTATGTACTGTATGTGTACATGTGTACATAGACACGCAGACAAACACTCTTATAAATAAATGTAAACAAAACATGGATGAAGTCAATAGTAGAATAGTGGATGGTGTCAGTAGAGCAGTGGACATGTAAGTAGAACAGAGGTTGGTATCAATATGACAGTGAATGGTGTCAGTCAGAACAGTGGACGGTGTGAGTAGGGCAGTGGACTTTGTCAGTAGCGCAGTGGATGGTGTCAGTAGTTTTGTATTTTAATTATTTTATTTTTTATTATTTTTCACAATTTTATTTTTTTATTAGTACTTTACAATTTTTTTAAGAGCCCCATTGGGGGGCTTTGGTGAAATATCAGGGGTCTATGCAGACCCCTGATATTTCACTTTTTAGACAGAGAAAAGGACTGAGGACAGAGATTCCCCAGTCCCTTTCTCTGCAGCCTCAGCTGCACTGGACAGTGAATTAATGGGAAGTTCTCTGTGCTTCCTGTTCATTCACAAACTGAAGCAAAGTAAACATAGTTCACTGTTCTTGAGTTATTAATAAAGTCAGTGAGTGTGTGAACAGATCACTCACTGTGTTCGTTCATAAATGAAGTTTGTTCAGAAAAGGAAGGAGCCAGTAAATGACTTATTTACCACTCTCCCTTCCCCTGAAGCAGCTGATGGGAGAGGAGAGGAGAGGAGGGAAAGCCAGCAGTGCTGCAGGGGGGAACTGGGCAGCCTGGGCAATCTGTGCTGCACGGGATGACTAGGCTGTGCCCAGGCACACTTCATGTGCACACCAATGGTGTTTGGATTGAAGGCAGTCTTAAACCTGGAAACATGATTTAAAACGCAGACTGTACATGTGAATCCAGGATAGGGTGCGAACCCCTAACTCTCCCCCTTCCCTTCCTGCCAATGTGCTTCCAACTTTCCTCTCTTCACCGTTGCTTGCTGTGGGTGGGCTGCTTCTTCCATCCCTCCCTCCCATTACTGCTGTGCTGATAGCTGCTGCTGGAGCGACTCTGTGTGGATCCTCCAAGTTCCCATTTTTTCACTACACTGTATAAAATCCTCATGATCGTGATGTCCCCCTCCCTCCTGGTCGCCGTGTACCCAACCCAACCTGTGGTAGGGAGAGGATACAAAAACTGCTGGGTATACTGGGAATTGTAGTCCACTTTGGGGGGGGTGGCAAGAGGGTGAAACACACAGCTTACACTTATAACTCCTGTTCGTTTCTTATGCAAAACTAATTGCTACAGGGGTGTCTGATTTTGTTTTATACAGTATACATTTTACAACGGATTTAAAGCAACTCATGCAAGGTGTTGATTACCTGGACATCAGTGGAGGATGTGTATCCTCAGAACTTCTTCTTCATGGACCTCTAACATTTCCAATTGGGCTCAGCAGCAACAATCAATGCTTTTTTGGTGCTGCATACTACGGCAGGGGACGTGTTGTTGTAGGAACACATGAAAGCTTCCTGGCCAAACCAGAGCTGAAGACCTTCATTCTCAATGCTGTTTCTTGGCTAGATATGGGCAGAAATGGAAAGATTGGTGTTAAGCAACTGGGAAATGTCTTCCTTATGTTACAGAATGAAGGTTTATCTTGTGTGGTTTCTGACTTGATTCCTGGTCTCAGTGTGTATTGCTGCACCTCGTACAGTGATGCAGAAGCTGAAAAGATCCATAGATTTGTGGCAGAAGGTGGGGGCCTGCTCATCGCTGGCCATGCCTGGTACTGGTCGTACTCCAACCCAAATGTGCTCTCCCAGTACCCAGGAAATAAAATCCTCAACAAGTTTGGAATTAGCATTCTAGCAGAGACAGTTGGACAAGGAGTTTATAAGGCTTTGGATCCCAAAGCAGTTGATAGTATGTACACTTTCCTAGAGCAGCCTGTGAACTTGTAAAGAACTTAAATGGTGGAGGTGAGCTGAAACCACACTTTAACTCTTGGTTGAACAAGCTCAGACAAGATGTCTCATCATACATGAAGCTTCCAGCCAGCCCTCTCACCTCATCACTACAGCAAGAACTGGCACATCTATTACAAGGGTGTCGTTTGCCCGCTGTCAGTAAACAGTGTCCTGTGCAAAACAGCTCCAAAGAGGCTTTAATCATGTGTTTGGCTCAAGAAGTCAGCTGCCTTAAATGTCTGGATGACGATGGGGAAGATGGCAATGCTTCTTTGGACCAGTCGTCCCTTACAGTACAGATTGATGCCACAAACCCAGGTAGAACATAATGAAGTATACTGTCTGTGACTCCATCTATGTAGGTTTTGTGGTACATTAACATTTACTGCATTACTCCCAGGTGCCGATGCATGGAGAAGTACAGGACTCTTTCTGCCCCCTGGAAAAACTGCAGTACTAATGTTTCCAGCATCAGCTGCTGGACAAGGTCTTCAGGTATTTCTTTTCTAAATGCTATTTTGAGTTGTACTTAATTTTGTTGCCCTTACTTGCACCTCCATTTGCCATGTAGTTGCAAATCATAACATTTTGGCTGGTTTATAAAAGGGGTTAAGAATATTTGCACAATATATTCTGTTATTGCTGATTGTCCAATGATGTGAAAAAGCAAATTGTTCACATTGAATCCATAGTCAAGTGCAAATGAAATAAGTGAATAGGATTGTGTTATGCAAGTGATTGGATAATCAAAGTGAACTTTTACACAGTTTAGTGTAAGTTTCTCAACCCTCTCCTTTGGTTAAATAGGTTCATGGTGTACAAGTATGCTTGTAAGTTGGAGACACTTTGCAACTTTGTGTCATCTGAAAACAAGAATAGAAACTGTTTGTTTAATCTTGAACCAGTTTTATTTAACAGTATAACAGAGAAATTGTTCCAGAACAGAACTTTGGAGGTGCACCACTTACATAGGGGAGCCATAGGTGCAGCTCACAGCTTTCCATTACAATGAATGGATGTATGCTGTTATATGTTGCCAATCTCGCGCATGAGCATACAACCCTGGATGCACTCTGGCTCCTTTACAATGGCTATTTACGTTGCATTCATACTGTTTGCCCTCTTGAGGCCGTGTGTAATAAGCCTTATAGTAAGAACCCTTGATCATGACTCTCTGAACGAAGGGCTTGTATTTACTGTGTGAATACCTTTATCCAATTTTAAAGCCAATCTCCAGGCAGAACTCTCCTTGCTCTGATCCTTCCCTTCCACTCCAATCCACTCAATTAGCAGCTTAAAATTACCTTTGAAGGTATTTTTTCCACACATAACTCTGACAACCATGTCCATCAACATTTGATGCTTCTTTGAGTGGATCCAGTGATGTAGTCTATGCTCATGCTGACCTGTAGCCTCTTCATAATGTCATCATGCTGCTGCAGTCTTCTGGAATCTAAGAGGAATCCATCACTGGACACCTGTGGAAGTGTCCATGTCACCTTAGCAGCAATATGGACACCAAAAAAAGAAGATAGACAACTCAAGGACCTGATGCATTACATGGCCATGGATTTAGGTAGGTAAAAGGGGCATTTAGCTTAGGCTTTTTTTTTCTATAAATACAGAAATGATTTGGGGGGGTACAAAAGACACAAACTGAGATGCCACTGCTGGGAAGTTTACAAGCCTGGTGAGTACATCTTATGAATTAATAAAAGCTGTTTCTCCCTATGGTAACTGAGTAAAAGAAAAAAAGTGAACACTGGGACACAATATGGGGGGCATTCTGACCATTTTTATACAAATCATTTAAGATTAGGATTGCTGAGCAAAACAAATTCAATACACCATTACTTTTTAAATGACTCTCATCTCCTAGATTGTAAGCTCCAAGGAGCAGGGCCCTCCTATCCCTCTTGTATTGAACTGTATTGTTGCTGTATTGTCTCCTGTTATATTGTAAAGCGCTGAGAAAACTGATATATAAATCCTGTATAATAATAATAATATACACATTTATTTTACTATTTTTCCAGGTTCAGGTTGGCTGCCACTCAGATAACTTGAATGGAGCAGAGGAGTTCTGTCGTGCTCCTGTGGTTATACATCAGAAAGATGTTAGTGGAGAAAAAGTGAAAATATCTTGTATATGGGGAGGTCTTCTATATGTTATTGTTAAAGCAAAAAGCCAGTTGGGTCTGATTCCAGTTACAGTGTATGGTGCGGAACATGCCCCAACATTCATTAAGGGTAAGTATTTTAAAAGGAATATACTGAGTAAAGAATGTTTTGCATTTTGTCTGTAAAAGTGCATTTTTTAGTGCATTTCAGTATATAAATATATACAGCTTATAACACAGGGATATACATATTTTTTTAATACAGTTACATAGTTTTGAGGGTTTTTTGCAGTGATAAATTTTGCAGAATTATTAAATCAAATGCTTTTAAAATAAAATACTAGAATAATCTCATTTGTATTCTTGTTTAGGTCAGACTAGCCTCTCTTCCTGGCAGCAAACAATTCGTAATTATCCAGCTCCTTGGGCTGAACTTGTTACAGAAAATATCATTCTTACTGTGCCTTCTGATACCATCCGCTCACTAGACGATCCAGAAACGTTGATGTTGTTGTGGGACGATATCATGGCATCCATTGCTGATCTGGCAGCAATTCCTAAGAAATTTCCCCGTCCAGAAAGGTTTGTGACAGATGTGCAGATTTCAGCTGGTAAGTTAATTTTATTTTGGTGAACATTGATGGGGATGTTAAGAAATAGTTTGAGGGCTACTCCCTGGGATGATTCTGTAAACTTGCAAACCCCCAGGCTGTAAAGAAAGGTATGCTTTATGTTATAGGTGTTTAATGTAAAGTGGTTTCCCCATTAGGCAAAGGTTTCTTGTTTAATCACAGGAAAGTGAACATAGTTTCACCCATTGGGCAGAAAAAAAATTAACCCAAAACTTTGCAAAGTTATGTGGATAATAGTTGCATATTTCATTTTAACATACCATATATTGTACATTGGTGGCATTTCAAATAATGGGCCATGACATGACTCCAATCCACACCATCATCTTTGTGTATAGGAAAAAAAATAATATTTCACTAAGGCACTAAGGACAGGGCTGCCATTGTATGCTTACCATTAGCCATTGTGAAAACAGTGCTTTTGTTTGTGACTTCTTAAAGTTTCATTTTTTGGTATTTAACCTCTTCATGCTGGCCGCACACAAATAACATGTAGGGGTTTGTGCCATCCTCCTAGGTGCCCTGTAATAAGTTGGACAGGGCACCCCATGGCGTCCCCCCCCCTTTGGGCATGGCCACATGACACCGCAGCTGCCTGTTAGTGAGCGCTGGTCTCTGGCTCCCAGCACTTGCACAAGGCAAACACCGGCAAGAGGATTGCTTCACCTCCCTCTGCATTGCTCCTGCCGGTGCTTGCTTTAGGCAAGTGCTGGAAGCCAGAGACAGGCTCTAGCTAACAAAGCAGCCGTCTTCTTGCTAGTTGCGGTGTTAGATGGCTGTACGCCAGTCTGTTTGACATTGCAGCTAGTGTTACAGGGCACCTAGGATGATAGGAAAAAGTACTACATGCACTTTATCATATTGAATACTGTAAAAAAAAAGTGATAATGCTTTGTTAAGTCCTCATGCACACTTGTTTTTACAGCGGCTGTTTTTGGTTTTTGACATTTTTTATTCTACAGCTAGTAAACCCCCAGCATGTTATCCTATGTGTCCATGCACACATAGACTGTAATCAACATTTTTTGGCTGGAACAAAAACCCCAGAACTAGTGGGTTTCTAGAGGAGTTTTTTAGCTGGAAAAACACACTGCAACGCTGAAAAATGCAGAAAAAGTGTGCATGAGGACTTGTGCTATAGACCTTTGCAGTCAAATTTTTCCTTTATGTTTTAAGTGTTTTTTGTATGTTACTCAAAAACATACCTTGATGTGGATGTGTTAGTGTGATTATTGTGATGTTGATCTGTAACTTATTGAGTCTTTTTGTTTTAAGGTTGGATGCATGCTGGATACCAATAATGTGTCATTTAGAGACAGCACCAGATATAACCAATGCTGAGCATATACAGAAAACTGGTATCTGGGGACCTATACATGAACTTGGCCACAATGAGCAGAGGGGAAATTGGGAATTTCCACCTCATACCACAGAAGCAACATGTAACCTCTGGTCAGTATATGTCCATGAAACTCTCCTGCATATTCCAAGGAATCAAGCGCATCCTGCACTAAAGCCAGAAGAGCGGGAAACTCGAATCCAGCAATATTTAAAAGATGGAGCCCAGCTGGAACAATGGAGTGTGTGGACTGCTCTGGAGACCTACCTTCAGGTATTGAACACCAAACAACACTGATATCTACCAACAAAATGACATCTTACTCTGCAACTCATAAAAACATAGGGGTCCATTTATAAAGGGCCATATCTTACATTCACCCATGATTTGCTGTACATTTGCCAACGCATTTTTGACCTGATTCATAAATACATTTAGCCCTTCCAAGATTTTGGATTTGTTCTTGTTTATTGTTAAATCCTGATTTCTTTAACATTTGCCATATTTATACAACAAATTTAGGCCAATATGTATTCTGCTACATATTTTTGGTTAAATAATCTCAATAAACGTATATTGATTGGTTTGCGCAAACATATTGTCTACAAACCATGGGATACATTGTATACTGGATTTTTTTCTCTTATACTAGTAATGTCGGCGATCATTGACTTACAGGGGGACTGCAATATTGCAGTGGACAATCTGACACTAACTTACAGTTTGTGGGAACCAGTAACACTAATACAGGGATCAGTGCTAAAAATATACACTGTCACTGTACTAATGACACTGGCTGGAAAGGGGTTAAACATCTAGGTTGATCAAAGAGTTAATTGTGTGCCTAACCAGTGTTTACTTATAGGTGTTTTTACTAAGGGATGTGGTGGATTTTATCCCCTGCTTTGCAGGGAAACAAAATCCACCACATCCCCACTAACAGGGCGGAGCTCTGCATTGTTTACATATGCAGAGCTCAGCCCAGTGTTTCTCCTCTCTGATCAATGGGTCCTGGCGGTCATCCACTGGCCAGCACCCATTGATTGGCTTCTGTTGTAACTAATCACAGCAGAAGCAGCATGTCGATGGCGCACGTACCCTACCCAGAAATGCAGAATTACTTATATATACGTGATTCTGCACAGAGCGGCCGACCTGTAGCAGTAAAATTGGTATAGGATGGTCAGCTAGTAGTTAAAGTGGTTGTAAACCTCAGACAAGAAATATGAATAAGGCATATCCCTCTATAGTGTGTACAGTATCATTCCTGCCTGCTGCTTCGTTCCTCTGCTATTAGCATGAATCATTTATGACAGATTTTCCTGACACCAAGAGAAAAAAGGTGACAGGGGAGGGATCTCCAGCACACAGCTTGTGATTGACAGTCTGAGCTCTGTTCCTGTGTGAAGGGCTGCATGTCCCTTCCCTCCAATCAGTTGTCAAAGCTCCCCTCAGTGATCTCTGCAGTTTCATTTCAGCTGCATAATGTTTTCTGGCAGCTCAAACAAGATTTAGACATTATCTACATTGAATGGCTGTAGAGAAAAGAATACTACAGATAAACGGGTACAGCTTTTTTAACAGCCACTTTAAGATTAAGACACACACACGCGCATTACATGCTGCACTATAATGCAAACATAAGTCATGTATAGTGAGCTTGTATTAACAAGTTAACCAACTTTTTTGATATTTAGTTACAAGAAAGCTTTGGATGGGATCCCTTCAAGCAACTATTTGCAGAATACCAGAAGCTGTCAAATGTCAGTAGCAACAATTCAGATAAGATGAATCTCTGGGCGGAGAAGTTCTCTCAAGCTGTCAATAAGAACTTGGCTCCATTCTTCAAGTCCTGGGGGTGGCCAATTGAGGAGAATATCAGCCAGAAGTTATCCACATTGCCCATGTGGGAGGAGGATCCTATGAAGAAGTACACCAGTTCTGAGTAACGGCATTTACAGAATCCACCTTGTACCCTATTGTAATGAGCGAAAATATGAAACAAACAACACTGAGATATTATTTTACTTGTTGGAAGCATTGAATGGCTAAAACAGTCTGTATAATCTTTTGTTTTTTTAGACTTTTTTTCACAATTGTCTTATTAAGAATGTTTAAAGTGGTTCTAAAGGCTCAAGGCTTTATACCTTCGTGCATTCTGTGCATGAAGGTAAAAAATCTTTTGTGTGTAGCAGCCCCCCCAGTTCTTACCTGAGTCCCCTCTGATTCAGCGATGTCCAGAAGAGCCTCGGTTCTCCAGGAGCTCTCACTCCTGATTGGCTGAGGCAGCAGCAGGAGCCATTTTCTGGCAATCAGAGCCAATGAGCCAATCAAGAGAGGTAGGGGGCAGGGCCAAGCTGCGGCTCTGTGTATGAATGGATACGCAGAGCAGTGGCTTGGGAGTTTGCCTGCTTTGGTGCTCCCATAGCAAGCTGCTTGCTATGGGGGCACCCGACAGGAGGGAGGGGCCAGGAGCACCGGGGGACCCGAGAAAGGGAGGATCCAGACTGCTATGTATAAAACCATTACACAGAGCAGGTAAGTAGAACATGTTTATACTTGTTTGTGGACTTTAGTATCACTTTAAAGTACATGGCCCTTCATGGGTAAACCTGCGCTTTCAGTTGTTAAAGCCTAATTTCAATAATACTATGACTTTGAATAGTTTGTCTGGGCTTAAGCTGCCCAAAGAAACTATAATCCTTACTAATTGATGCAGCCACTGTCAGTGCTGTATAAACTGTGTGTAGCATCATCTATAGGGCTCTTTCCCATGGACGTTCCGATCGGGTCCGCCTGCCCATTTTTCAGGCGGACCGAATCAGAACTTCCATTCTCCTCTGTAGACATCCGATCTGCCAAAAAGGGACGGATGGGGATCCAATTCCCCTTCCATCCATTCGATCGGGTTGGATGAAAGCGGACAGGCGGTCCATTTTCATCTGAAACGTCCACTGAGGAGAGTGAGTAGCTCTGTGTCTACTCTGCAAGTAAGCAGATACGCTAAACGGGTCCGCTCCGTGTGAAAGGACCTTTATACAGTATACAGCACCGGTGTCAAACACAAGGCTCACGGGCCGAATCCGGCCCTACAGGCCATTTCATGTTGACCTTGTACCTTTCCTGCAGATACCTCCTTGTCTCTGCCCTCACTTTCTCTAAGCAGTCGGCAGCAGAGAGGAGAATAGAACTCCTCTGCCAAATCCTGCACCTCTCAGTGCAGCTGCAGAACCCCCTCATCTCTGCTTCACCTGGTGTCAGCATTCAGCAGACTCTGGTTCCACACCTCCTCTGGTCCTCCTTCAGACCCTGCTCTTTCTGCTTTTAACTCTGCCCCCAAAAGGGGGTGCACGGTGATGTTAGGGAGGGTGTGGGATTCCTGACATCTGATGTAAGGGAGGATGGGGTGCTCTGGACATCTAGTCTTACAGATACAACGAGCCCTTTGAGGGCAATCATAATGCTGATACGGCCTGTGATGAAATGGAGTTTGACACCCCTGGTATACAGCAAAGTGTTCAGACAGCGATAGAGGGACTTCTCATCTGTTGCTGTGACATAATAGAGTCGAGTAGAGTGCTGCTCAGCCATTCTTAGGAAGCCTTGTATTTTTATGAATGAATACAAGAATTCCTTTGATTGGATGAGTTGGAGAAGCAGGTGGATGATGTCAAAATCTCTATCTCAGCCAATCAGATGAAGCCTTGTATGCATTGTGAATGGCTGAGCAGTGCTCAGCCTAACTCGATTTTGTGCTGGGAAAGGGGACAGGAAGTCCTTGTACCTCTGCTGAAACACAGAGCTGTATACTGTATGTAGCTAATGCTACATAGAGTTTATACAGCTCTGACAGATGCTACATCAAATACTAAGGGAAATAATTTGAGCCAACGTGGTCCAAACAAACTGTTAAAGTCATATTAGTCCTGGAGATAGGTTTTAGTGCTTCTGCTTTGCAGTCAGTAGGATTGTTTGTTTAAATCCCAACTATGACACTACCTGCATGGAGTTTGCATGTTTTTCCTGTGTTTGCATAAGTTTCCTCACACACTTCAAAGACATGCTGGTGGGTTAATTGGCTACAAATCAAATTGTCCTGATTATGTGTATGGATGCATGTGAGGTAGGAACCATAGATTGCAAGCTCCAAGGAGCAGGGCCCTCCTACCCCTCTTGTATTGAACTGTATTGTCTCCCTTTATATTCTAAAGCGCTGAGCAAACTGTTGGTGCTATATAAATCCTGTATAATAATAATAATATGTAAAGTGCTGTGTAAAATTGTTGCCACTATTTAAACACATGTAATGAGTAAAACCCATAAAACATGAAGCAAACACACAATACATGCTTTTCTGCAGCATTTCCATTGAAGTCTAAAGAACCAAAAACGCATTTTTTTGCGTTCAAAAAAGTCCCTGACCCTTTCCAAAACACACACCGGGTGAAAATGAACAGATGTGAACATGTCCCATGGAAATCATGTTAAATGGACTGTACTGTGTTTTTGCAAAACGCTGCAAAAAACACTTAGGCATGACCTAGGGTAAACAAAAAGGAGACTGAACCTGTCCTACCTGTTTAATCACATAGTATACTAAACGTGGCCCCTGTTTAGGATGTCTATGCATTGTGTGTTTAAATCGAATTCTCACGTGATGTGAGTTTAAGTAGAATTCTCAGACATACTGTATATGCAGTGCATATTTTAAAGGGGCAAGTGAGACAGACTACTCATACAGTACTGGGTGTGATCCATTATCTCTTGACAGCTCAGATGAAAGAATATTACTGCATATTTCATTATAAATAGAACTTGAAAACACATTGATGTACAGTACATTAGATGACATCATGACCCAACAACTAACCAAACTCTCTCTAATTCTAAGCCAAGGCAGTCAAGCTGTAATCTGATAATACTATTAACAAAAACACCAAATACTAATTCACAGGATCTCCCCCATATAAATGTTTCAAGTTAAAGACTCTTATTTTTTTCTTACAATGGTAAATGTTTTCAGTTTAAACATTTGATATGTTTTCTATTTTCTATTGTGAATAAAATATGGATTTATGAGATTTGCAAATCATTGCAATCTAATTTTATGTAGATTTTACACAGCATTCCAACATTTTTGGAATTGGGGTTATATAACACAGCAAGAAAGAAGCCAGGTTGGTTACATACTTGTGCTACATCATAGATAACTTGAACAGGGAGGCTGGGTTGAATTTATTAGCCTGCTAATAAATTCAAACCAATTGTTCCAAAACAATTGTTCATCTGCAGCTCACATTTTTGCTAGTATTTTAGTTTGATTTTATGTAGATTGTCAACTTAAAAATGTATTGCAAATTAAATTTGAATCAATAAAGAGCTCTTTAAACTGAATCAACTGTCTGACCTTGATGACTTATTATCATTTTGTAAAAGAAAAAGTAAGCAAATATAGGAACAAGGGTAAACACAGATATATGTTGGAAAAGAGAAAAAAAATTAGGGGAGAGAGAGGGAGAGTATTGGGTATAGGGGTAAAGCCCCTGTAAGAGCCTCAGGGCAGTTATCCAGGACCTGGCTGGCAGCACTCATACGTCTATTTTCCAAAGACAACCTCTGGATATGACTCTGAGCATGTGCACTCAACTTCTTTGGTCGACCATGGCAAGGCCTGTTCTGAGTGGAACCTGGCCACCATGCTGCAGCTCAGTTTCAGGGTCTTGGCAATCTTCTAATAGCCTAGGCCATCTTTATGTAGAGCAACAGTTCTTTGCCATGAGGTGCCATGTTGAACTTCAAGTGACCAGTATGAGAGTGAGAGCGATAACACCAAATTTAACACACCTGCTCCCCATTCACACCTGAGACCTTGTTACACTAACAAGTCACATGACACCGGGGAGGGAAAATGGCTAATTGGGCCCAATTTGGACTCACTTAGGGGTGTACTCACTTTTGTTGCCAGCAGATTAGACATTAATGGCTGTGTGTTGAGTTATTTTGAGGGGACAGCAAATTTACACTGTTATACAAGCTGTACACTCACTACTTTACATTGTAGCAAAGTGTCATTTCTTCAGTGTTGTCACAATATATAATAAAATATTTACAAAAATGTGAGGGTTGTACTCACTTCTGTTAGATACTGTAGTTAGGTTTTGCCTTTAATTTCAAGTTAACTCTATTTTTCCATTTTTGTCCACTTAACTTTTTATACTATCACAAGGGGTTCATGGTTGTACATGCAGCCTTGACCTCCGCCCAAACTGAAATTAAGCCCTGATTAAGCCCTGATCCTCCCTTGTGCTATGCCCTACCACTCAACAATTAACTCTCAAATTCCAGAGCCTCTACTGTGCACTGTTTTGGCATTTAATATTTAAGTGACAGGGAAAGATGCTTAAACTTAAACTGAAGAGGAGTCAAGAGCCAATTTCCCTGGTTGAATATAGACCATATAAAGTCAATATTGCCTAGTTCTGCAAACTTCACCAGTAAAGTAGGGGCCCAATCAGCAGGGATCCTAAATTAGTAGGATTAACTAAGAAAAGCAAGACACCAACATACTGTTAACATTGCAAACCTAATTATCCACATAAAACAAAGTATTCAACCAGTCTTCTACAGATAAATACATAAACACCAAATAGGAAAACATATTTTATATGTAATAACCCAAGAATACATCAAATGATCTCAAGGTAAAAGGGGAAGTACTGAAATATTGAATACCTTAATAACAAGGCTTGTTATGAGGCCATAAATTTGACACTACCATGAGTTTGCTAATTAAGCTTCGGTTCACATACACTATATTGCCAAAAATATTGGGACACTCCTCCAAATCATTGGATTCAGGTGTTCCAATCACCTCCATGGTCACAGGTGTATAAATCAAGCACCTAGACATGCAGACTGCATCTACAAATATTTGTGAAAGAATGGGTCG